CAAGAGTGTCCCACAAGAGTTTCCGAAAAGAGTGTCCCACAAGAGTGTCCCACAAGAGTGTCCTACAAGAGTGTCGTGTAAGAGTGTCATGTAAGAGTGTCCCTTAAGAGTGTCCGACAAGAGTGTCCCACAACAGTGTCCTACAAGAGTGTCCCACAAGAGTGTCCCGTATGGGTGTCCCACAAGAGTTTCCTACAAGAGTGTCCCACAAAAGTGTCCCACAAGAGTGCCCTACAAGAGTGTCCCACAAGAGTGTCCTACAAGAGAGTCCCACAAGAGTGTCCTACAAGAGTGTCCCACAAGAGTTTCCTACAAGAGTGTCCCACAAGAGAGTCCCACAAGAGTGTCCTACAAGAGTGTCCCACAAGAGTTTCCTACAAGAGTGTCCTGCAAGAGTGTCCTGCAAGAGTGTCCCACAAGCGTGTCCCACAAGAGTTTCCTGTAAGAGTGACCCACAAGAGTGTCCCACAAGAGTGTCTCACAAGAGAGTGTCGCAGAAGAGTGACCCGCAAGAGTGTCCTACAAGAGTGTCCCACAAGAGTGTCCTACAAGAGCGCCTCGTCAGAGAGATCCACACAAGTGTCCTACAAGAGTGTCCCGCAAGAGTGTCCCACAAGAGTGTCCCACAAGAGTGTCCCACAAGAGTGTCCAACAAGAGTGTCATTTGGACATATGTAGCTTTTCGAAGGTGTTTGCATTGGGGTTCGTGGGCTCCATCTTGTTTTTTGAATTAGGGAGGATCCGGCTTGACAGGTATGCTTTGGCACTGCGTGCCGAATTGGCAAATAGAAACATAAAACCTTAAGCTGCCACTGCTGTTTGGGGTCGACGCTGGTGCAATATTTTCCGGAATGGGTGGGTTTCTCGGAGAGATCAATCTCTCAAGCGCCGTTGAAAGACGGAGGTTGCTCAAAGGCTCACCTCTGAAAGACGGACCCAATCCCAATTCCTACAAATTCGTGCCACCGACCATGCATGTCCGCGATTCTAGTGTCGCACAAGGTCAAAAGGGGCAGAGGCTGAAGTTTAGTCATAGCTTAGCAGGTGTTGTGCCACAGTGAAAAGGACAAGCAAAAAGAACGGTACATCAGTGCCACAGATGCACTAAGCATCAACAAGCTTTTTGGATTCCTTCATTTTCTGGCAAAGCAAGGCTGGGCTTTATTTTTGTTGATGAGTTCAATCACAGTTGAGAGATGTACAGGGTCATGGTGTGATAGCGAGCGCTATCTAGTTCTTAAGTCTTACCAAAGACCACCATTCCGGCATGCTTGGAACCTCCAGCCCTTTGTTGTACCTCATGTTGTTTGTCATTCCAGACTCGACTAGTGGCGTTCAGGATTTTCTTTCAAGGACAGTGCCCCCTTTCAGGTTGATGCCATTTGGTATCAATGTAGTATGCTGGAGTACCCTATCAATCAGTTTAGGCTTACACATCAACTGAGTCCCGTAGTGTCCGTCGACGGGTGGCAGACTTCTCAAAGCGGAAAACCGCCAGCGCGGTGCGTCCTCCCCCCCCAAAAAGGCCATACACAGGGGTCGGATGTGAATTCCGGTTGGTTGAACTCCTTTGGCTCTATGTTTGGAGTGTCAACCCCCTTTTAGAGGACATTGAAGTCCTGCAGAAGCTTGAAAGGGCGCTGCGCAGAATAGCAGAAGATCCAGAAGATTTCTCCTTCCGCAGCCTGAATTTGGTGGATGACGAGTTCAAAGACAACTTGGGATCCAATGACGAGGCCCAGCAGTTCCTTGAGGAGTTGGGTTTCGAGCTGATTGAAGAAGGACCAGAGTGTTTCCTAGTGTTCATGCAGGAGCAAGTCGATAGCTTGCGGGCTGCACAAAAGGATGTTGAGGCAAGACTGAAGAAACTTGGGGGCAAGTGCTTGGACTCCGTCGAAACCAACGAAACCAATGAGAGCAATGAGAGCAATGACATTGTGGAATCCAATGAGGTCCAGTCCAACGATGTGACAAATGAGCCGAATGAACAGAGCAACGAAATGCCGTCCAACGAAAAGACCAAACCAGACCCCATGAATCAGGTAGCCAGTCCGATGACCCCAGCTCTTGGGGAATTCCCTGCGAAGTGTGAGATTACTTTGCTTCTACCTTCTGGAGAGACTCCGAAGCTGGAATTGCCTGGTTCAGCCACCTTGGAAGACTTGCTTCGGGAAGTCAAGGTGGCAGTCCCTGGGCTTCGCTTGCCTTGTCTCAAGAGTCAGGAACCCCAGCCCCAGCCTCAGCAGCCTGAGCCCGTGCCAAAAGCAGAAGCAAAAAGTCAGAAGAGGAAAAGCTCTTCAAAAGGTCATGGTGGCAGGGGCAGAGGGAGCAAAGGTGCCAAAGGCGAAGCCAAAGGCGAAGCCAAAGGCGAAGCCAAAGGCTCCGCTGAGACCAAGAGTGCAACTTCTGAAAGCACAGACCCAGTGATGCATCAAACACCGATGCTAGAGATGAGCTTAGCCGCAGAGCCAGGGATGACCCTTTGGAGATTATGCCGCTCCCACCTCACCGCGTGGGATCATAGCGGCACGAGCTTCCGGCAGGAAGGCCTTGAAACGGCCTTTGCCTTTCCATCGACGGATGGCGCATCCTCTGCCCCTCCAGCTCCAGTGGTCGTTGAAGATTTTGAAGAAGCCTTTACGAAGAGATTGCAAAGCGGTCTTCTTCGCTTGAGGGACATAGCCTCTGTCGCACCTTTGCTGGACTGGGAAAAACCAGAGCTGCCAAAGATGCTCATGGGGAGAGTGAGATCCTTACTGGAAGGCACGTGTGAGGCCTGGTGTAAAGCTGCCGATTGTAGCAAAGAGGATGAATTGCTCTGTGCCCGTGCTCTGCTTCTTCGTGTCCATGGCACATTGTCCTTAGATGAGCGGCTGCGGATTTGCAGAGAGCTTTTGCCTCCAGAAAAGAAAGATCGGAAGGCCCGTGTGGAGGTGGAGCGGGGCCAGGACTTTCTGAAAAAGAGTTTGATGGGTCTCATGAAGCTCAGTATAGAAGAGCTTCGAAACCCTTTGAGCATTCGCTTCAAGAACGAGGTCGCCGAAGACTACGGTGGACCTCGTCGAGACTTTTTCTGCATGATCGGAGGGCGCCTTTGCAGCGACTTGAAAGCACTGTGGAGGCGTTTGCCAACAGGTGCCATAGCTCCTGTCCCTGACCTGGTTGCAGAGACCTCTCCAAAGGACAAACTCGCTGGGCTTGATGAGGCACAGGAGGCATATCGGGCCGCAGGGCGTGCTGCTGGTTTGGCCTTGAAGTACGGTGATGTTTTGGGAGAAGAGGTTGCAGGTTTCTTCGTGTATCAAGTTGCCCGGGACGACACCGTTCAGTTGGACGAGTTGCAGCGACAGCTGGCGGAGTCTGAGGGCACCGATGACATCCGAGCCTCTCGGAAGCTCCTGGAGTGCCATGTCTCTGAGTCCGGCATCAAAGGTCTGAAGCTCACCCGAACCATCACAGGTACTGAGAAAGAGGTTGAGCTGGTTCCCGGTGGCCATGATGTCGAGGTCACCGAGGAAAACAAAGCAGACTGGCTCAGGCTCCACTTGCATGACAAGTTGTACAAATCCATGCAGAAAGCCGCAGATGCGTTCCGTTTGGGAATCCTGGACATCTGGGGGGGCAGTCGACGTACCTGTCCATTGCTTGTTCTTTTGACACCTTCAGAGCTTGTTCGAATCTGGGGAGGCAGCAACGTCACCGATGCTGACATTCGTCGTTGGAAAGAGGTGGCCACAGTTAGCCATGAGGTGCAGACACAAGCAGCCTGGCTGTGGGAAATTCTTGCAGAGTCGGATGAGGCCTTCCGTGCCAAGGTGCTGAAGTTCACCACAGGTGTGCATCGGATTGGATACGTGGGCATCCAATCCTTCGAAGTGCAGCCTGCAGATGGAGAAGATGATTCTTTGCCAAGGGCAATGACTTGCGCCAACATGCTGCAGATGCCACGTTACTCCACGAAAGACTGCTTAGCAAAGCAGTTGCGCAAGGCCACCGAGCTTTGCGATGGCTTTCAGATTCTCTGAATATGCTTGGATGCCTTTAGGGCATCGCTGGGCAACGCCCGTTTGTGTGCATAAGAAGGTGCTGCCATAGTTGAGAACGCAGCCCGCAGTCAAGATCCGCATTTTAAGTTCAAAAACACTTGTGCCAAGTGCCAACCTTTAGATTGGTCTTTCTATTTTTGGTGTGTCGACTGCCACGAATCCAGTGTAGTCCAAGACGGCCAGGCTAAAGACACAGCTGGAGGAGAACGCTGCCAGGCTTCAAGGCCTTGCCCAAACGAAGAGAAACACTGGACTTTGGGTCTGAAGGACAGTGAAGGATAAAGGCGAAGATCGTGAACATGGCTACCGAGTGCTACTGGTATAGACGGTGGATTGATCAGAAAACTTCAGGAAATATGGCTCAGATGCTTTCCTTGCCCTTTTTGTGCTTGAAGTGGTTGGTGCTTGACTTGAAACCTGAGGCGAGCTTCGAGCGAGAGTTGAGGAGGTGCTCTGGCCTTTCATTCTGCTGTTCAGCGAGATGATTCTTTTCCACACTTTGGACAATCTTCTAGACGCCAGGCCAGACGGAAAGCGCAAGCCACAATTCAATCTCTTCGCAATGGCCCAAGTATTGCTGGCACTGGCTTGAAGGGATTCTTATTACGTTGGGAGTTGTCTATTTTGGTAAGGGATCGGCAACAAAGACACCTTTGGCTTGTATTGAAAGAGCAACAAGTTGAAAGATGGCTGCCTTTGCTGCAAACTTGGACTTGAGGCAAACTATATGAGGAGAAGCAGCAGGCAGGCATAGTCTCTGATCGAGGGGGCGGTCCTTTGGATGTCAGCAGATACTCTTTCGCAAAAACAGAAGGCAAAACAAACACCAGTCTTTGAATGTGCAATGCATAGAACTTCAAGTCGCGTATGAGCAGCATTCAGCACCTGTGTGACTTTATGTAAGACGATGGTTGCTGATTGGTTGCTTAAGGCACAACACAACCTGCAAGAAGCACATGTCCGACAAACATTCTGACCTTTGATATGACAGGGTTAAGGCTTCAGGGATCTTCAGGGTCTCGCCGTTGTAGCGGACAAAGCTGTCGAGACGGTCAAAGGAGTCGTCGTGCATGCGTCGGCCTCGAGGCCTCGACTGTGAAGGAGAGAGAAAACTTGCGGAAGATGAAGATCACCGAGGTCCATTGAGCGCTAGCAGCATGCCTTGTTATTGTCACTGTTCTTGATTCTTGCAACATGAGCATGAGCGGTCCTTCGTTCCAATAAGCAACAACATTGACACGCTAATAGCATCTAATAGCCTTGCCCAAAGATTGACAGGCTTTACATGTCGCGTCAGCAGATGACGAAGAGAAGGTCGCTTGGCCTGGACATGCAGAAGATGTACTATAGCCATTTTCTGGGCATCAGGCATATGACAAGCGAATGCGAGCAGATGCTGATAGCTATGTGGCTTTGCAGGCAGGGTGTGTGGCCGTTTCCAAAAATAGTGGAGAATCACCTACCAGAATGGATTGAAGTTGGGATTTGCTACTAGGAGCAAGGACGCTACTAGTAGCTCCTACTAGGAGCGAAGGGCATCGCTACGAACGGATTGAAGTTGGATTGAAGTTGGGATTCGAGGCCGAACTTCGAGAAATGGAGGCCAAATTTGAGCAGGCAGACGATTTGAAAAACAGAGCCGTTACCGTGTGGTTGCTATGCTTCGGTGCTTCGGTGAGCTTGCAGAACCGGCAACAAGCTCGATGGGATATGGAGCAGCAAGAAATGAAGCAAGAGAAGGCGGGGGTAGGCCGCTAGAGGTAGCTAGTAGGCGCCTAGTTAATCAAATAAGGAAGAGGTAGCTAGTAGGTACACCACTCTACTACCTTGGACACAGGATAGCTCACGCTTCCTTTCAGAAGCGCTCGCACTATTCATTTGGTTCCTAGATTTTCAGGGAAACTTAACTAGTAGCTCAAGGAAAAACAAACAAAGAAAGAGAGAACACATAAAGCCATCCGAGCTGAACGTACTCTTGGGAGGTTGTGCAGCAACGCCTCAGTGAGAAGGATGCTAAGGCAAGGTATTGCTTGGAAGAGTGGCCCCAAATCTCTAACTTGGTCTTTCTGCCGCAGATCCAGACATTGAAAGATTTGATTGCCTTCACTGAGAAGCGCTTCGATGCCATGCCAACACCTTATTCACGCACATTCTGAGAGGTGCGAGATGAGATGTTTCGATTGTGTCGAGTGAGGTTTGACCAGGAAGGTATGGAGCAATCCTTGGAGATCTCAGAAATCAAGAAGAAGAATCAGGAGGACAGTGACGGAGTAACAAGACACCTGTAGCCAAGACCACTGTATCTCCCTTATCTCGTGAGAGGAGTTGGAGCAGCAACACCTGGTGGAGTACAAGCTCAAGAAGGATCAAGATATGTTAGTGTGGCTTGGCTCCGCTTCGCAGAGAGACCCTGGCGGACAGAGCGCGTCTTCCATCGCCCGCGGATCAACGTGACACGACGCGCACCGAGGCGAGCGCTGGACATGATGGAGAAGGCGGGTCTCGAGACGTCCGGGGCGTCGAGACGTCGGGTGTGAGTCTAACCGGCGCTCGAAGGATCGGGATCGGATTGCGATGGAACAGCGGGAAGCTGGGGCCAGAGCCTCAGAGTGGGACATTAAATAGAAGCCGCCTGCTTGTCAGCTGGATTTTGGAGACCAGTGTCAAATCTAACAACCTTCATTGAAAGCGAATGTTTATGAGCTTAGTCAATCAAGCCAGTTCAACATTATTTGTTTATGGCCTGGAGGTGAGCATCAGCAACTTAAGATCGGAGGCGGAGCCAGAAGCTTCTTGCGAAGCTTTCTTGTGTTCATGCATTCCGAGTCTTGAGAAGCTCAGAGATGAAGATGGATATTTCCAGCCTTTTCACCATTCTGCAAGTTCTTTTTCACAATTCTGCAAGTCCGCAAGTTCTTTTTCACCATCCGGAGGGCTAAGACACTAAGCTAGAGATTCATTGAAGAGACAGAATACTTTGAGCCGATTGGCTCCTTCAGTTCTGGATTTCGGAGAGGCTGAACTCATGAAGCGGGAGGTCCACTCCCTTAAGGTGGGTGGTACCGGGGTTTACAATTCTAATTAGTTAAATTCTTATTGTTACTAGTAGTAAGGCACTTATTCCTAATAGCTTCTTGTTACTAGTAGTAAGGCACCTGTTACTACTAGCGTGGCACTTGTTACTAGTTTGTTCTTGTTCTTCTTCCAGCCTGATGAACATGTGAGATTCACTCGGTGATCGCTTCGAGGTCGAACGGAAGGAGAGAGAGTCCACCCTAAGAGACAAGGAGATGGAGATCGGGACTCACAAAGTAAAGGTGGTGGCCTCAGAAAGCCGACTTCACAGACTTGCCTGAACATTCCTGGCCTAAGCTTTTGAGAATAGCAAGCTCTTGCCTGTGGCGCCTCATTTTCGGTCTAGACCGCTAGCTTAATGACCGTGGCAACACAAAAAGCACAAGAACAGTAACAACAGAAGCACCTGGTGCATTGAAAACTGCGTATGTGGTTACAGCCATCACGGAAATCATAAAAGTATAAAGGTTGTCCACAGCTGCAGCCCGTTGAATGCATACAGGTGGACAGCCATCACGGAAAAACAGGTAGCAGTCAAAGCCGCTTGAAGCTGTGGAAGGAAGCACGTTTGGAACAAAGGATAGGTGAGAATTCCTCGCAACGCAGTTTGACATCAGAGTGTTTCATGTGTGTTTGGAGTAGTTCACTCGTTCGTCACCATTAGGTTAGGGACTCTGTTTGAGGGCCTCAAGCTTTGTTTCACTCGCGGAGACATTGTTGACTTCATCACGTGCACAACTCAGCTCTTTCTCAGTGTGTATCTTTCTCTTTTCGTTGGGTTTCTCGGCCTTTGCTCAATCATCCTGGCAGTCTCTGGTACAGGTCCTGGACAGTACTTTCTGTGCTACGGTTGTCAGTTGCATAGAAAAAGACCAACCCTACACAGGTCTCGAACACCCCTTTGGCCTTGTATTGATTTCACAGGACAGTGTCTTTGGTGAAGATCCACGCGATACATCAAGGACAACCATCTCCAATGTTTTGACCATCTCCCACCCCTTGCAGAACAATCGCAGGGCACGCTAAGTCTCTTCAAAAGATTGTTCACTTCAAAACCTGGACAGGCAAATGTGCAACATTAATCAAAGACAAGCTTAAAGTACATGCCCGAAAACATGATGACAATGATAGATGGCCATGAGGAGAAGGAGGATCAGGAGGAGAGAACCTGATGAACACTTTTGGCCGATGGGTGCTGTGGAGGGGGGGTGCCTTGGGATGGAGTTTACATCGGGTTGCTCTGCTATGATCTGCAATGCTCCGCATGAGGTGCAAACCTTGAAGAAGTTCAAGCAAGTCCTGGATTTCCGGTTGCGAGAGGCGGTCCGTCCTGATGTTCGTTGGGTTGTGAAGCTGAGTGGAAACTCTGGCAGGTGACTGACTCCCTGAAGCCCAAGGAGGATATGATTGCACAACTCCATTTGATCTCCTTGCATGTTTTTGTAATTTTTCCTCTTTTGAACCTTGGACCCCTGATTGACACCTAGCCTTTTGCCTTGAAACACCTGGAGCCTTGAGACTTGGAACCTGGTTTTGGATCACAACTCTCTACCTGGAACTGGAACCGTTTTGTTTTTTCATGAAATGAACTCGCATTGCTTCGCTTCGCTGCTTCCCCCGAAGTGTCGAACTGCCCCGGAACGATCGCAACTGCTGCATTCTGTTTGCATCCGTCCTTTGATGCCATCATGTATTGCTTGTCCAGCTGCTAGCCCTACGAGTGCGGCGTCCGGATCGGGGTCAGAAGAAACTGCAGAAGTATGCCTTGTGAGTCTTCTTATCGAAGCTGCCGTCTGAGTGTAATTTGCATTGTTTTCGTTGCAAGATGCCAAGATCAAAGCATTGGCTGCGACTGAAGTTCATCCTTCTCGGTATGGGTCAAAGCTCAACACCGAAAGCAGGATAGGTGAAACGGTACAGCCAGGATAGGTGAAACGGTACAGCCACTGAAACAGCATGCTCGAACATTTTAACATAGCCAGAGCGCAAGTTGCAGGGCTCGTTCAGAGCTGCGACCTCTTGTTTGGCCAGGCAGCTGTCCGCGCTTGAAGAGGAATTTGAGAAGCAACTGGAGATCCAAGCACAGATGGACCGGAGACTTCATGAGCTCAGTCAGTTGCAGAAAAGACAACCATTTTCTGCAACGCACTTGTTCTGAGAACGTCTTGGTCCACTGTGCTCGAGTCATGGACCTTTCAGGAAACCGTGCTTGAGACGAAGAGCCAGCAAGTCTCGGACCTGTCTGCGGAGGTGACCAGCCTTCGCTGGCTGTCGAGTTGGCTGCTGTTGGCTGCTGTTGGAACTACAGTAGTTGCATAGACCAATTACATGCATAGTTTGCATCCTCCTCTTGGGTCAGGTGGAGAAACAGAAAGAACTCATCAGACAGCTGGTGCCCGAGAAGGTCTTTGGTGAAATTGAGTGATACAAGACGATACAAGACTATGACTATGTTGAATGTTGGTATCAAAAACATCACCAACATAGCAGCTTCTCAAATATCACCAACATCTGCAAGCTTTAAGGCGGGAGCGGACCATCTTTCGCTTCTCAGCAGATCTCCATGAGCTGGCAACCGGTGGTGAGGACAGTCGTTTCATCACAGATGTCTGTCCAGGCCATCGGGCCATTCAATCAATATCATGCAGGACACCCGCAACTGGCACATTGGAATGAAGAGGATTTGGCGGACACACGTCAACCCAGAGATTTTCAACCAGGCGAAGGGACTGTGCCTTGAGCCGATTGGTCTTGGACAGCCTTGTGGCTGTGATGTCAGGATGAGGAGCAGAGCCGCCCTATTCAAGAGCTTGGAAGACAGATCCAGGCCCTCTGCAGATCGAACCGTCTCGGAAGGACTCCTTTCTGCTTGGAAGATAGAATCAGTCTAAGGGCACCAATGATGGTTACACAGGAACGGATCTTTAGGAAGTTTAAGAAGTTTTCGGTTGATGCACTGGCTGTGGCTTGCAGCAATTTTGCACCTCAAGTGCCTGGCATTGGGATGCCAGAGCACATGGGGCTTCAATGGAATCATGAGAAGCCAGATGAAGCCAGACAAGCCAGAAAATACAAGATACAAGAGACATCTCACATGGAGCTTGGAAGCTTTGCTCAAGTTCGCAAGTTCCAAGAGACATCTCACATGTCAGGCAGCGACATTCGGACAGACACCAAGAAAGCAGATGTTTTCAGTAGGCTCAGTCAGAGTGGGTTCTTTTAGTCCAATTTTAGTGGAGTGCCAAGGAGCGCAGTCATGGCACATGGCTTTTCTGGGCAGCCAAGTGCCACCCAACGAGGTGCTGATTGGTAGCCTGCTGTCTGCGCTCACCTGCAAAGATCTGGCGACGTTGGAGATGGTTTGTGCCAGCGGCCTCAGGGATCTCAAGGCGCGACTGCGGACGGATCACGACGAAGGACGACGTTCGACCTTCGGACTTCGATCTTGGCAATTATCGTTTTCTACTATTCTAATATATTCTAATCTATTCTTGATGTTTTCGATTTATGCAGTGCAGATAAAAAGACATCAGGAAACCAACACCTTCTTCTTGGCAGGTTTCGCAGCACTGGGTGGTATACTTCCAGCAGCGTCTTCCGCACTTCGTGCTTGCCGGAGAATGTTCCACAGCCTTAGAGGCGAGGTCTAGTTTTAGCCCAAGTGAAAACACAAATGAGAAACGACAAGCTTTTACGTGGAGAGCATGCCCTTTGGCTCAGGCGGCCAATGCAGCCACCGCCAAGGCTTCATTGAGCAAGCTGGTGGCAGCGTCCACTTTGGAAATGGAACCACCCCTTGTGCTGGATTCCTTGGAGGTTTGGGCCAGTTTGGATGCGTTTTATGCTTGTTTCTTGCAGCTGGCCAGCGGGTGTGCTTCTTGTCTGTCCTTCCAGTGTCTATCCCTGTCGGCCCTATTGGCTCAAGCGTGAAGGGAGTTACGATTAAGACTTGTGAAATCTCAAGTCGACGGTGTGTGTGAGGTAGCTCTTTTCAGGATTTCATGGCATTAGTGCCAAGTCCAAGAACAACAGCCGCTGGTCTGCAGGATGCGAGTGAGGAGGAGATTAAGAAATTTCTCGAGTCCATTCCGGAGGACGATCGTCAGAAAGTCCTGGATGCTTTCAAGATCGTTGAAAAAGAGGCATTTGAAAGGATCTCGAACTCGTACCACATTTCCGGCGGTGATGGTGATTGGGGTGAGTACAGCATGAATGTGCTGGTGAAGCAAGATGGGACCGGCACAGTCAAGGAGCAGAGGGTCACCTTCCGAGACAGTCCTGAGGAAATCGAGCTTTGGCATGGAAACTGGACCATTCGTGGTGACTTGTTGACCTTTCAAGGGACTGAGCTGGAGACCACGACGAGTGGTGCTGGTGGTGTTTTCACGAACAAGACGGTTGGGAGCAAGGTATTCCGCTTTCTGACGACCAGTGGGGGAAACCTTCTTGAAGTCAGCGCGAAGAGGGAACCGTATGAAGCGCCTTTCCGTGATGGGAAGAAGAAATACCTCTTGAAACCAGGAGGAATCATGGAAGAGTGATGGAGAAAGAATGGAGAAGTACTTTTGCAGCGCCAAAAGCCGCTGCCGGGTGAAAGGGACTGACATGACCTGCTGAAAAAATGGGCGTCGCTGCAGAAAAGATAGCCACCTGGTGCCATGGGAATCACGGAGGTGCTTCGCTTGAGAATAGAAAGCACATGCTTGGTTGAGCACCCAACTAAGTGCACTCAGACCCAACTAAGACCCATGTTCGAACGGGTGTGCTGTCAGGAACTCCGAAAGCTTGCCGTGAAGTTCGATGTGGCGGATCAGGCAGCCAAAGATGCGAGAAGCAGAGGCCGTGCCACAACTGGGGCCATGATGCCCGGCAGACTGTGAGGGACTCGCACTCATCGATCTTTCACGCGTTTTCGTTTGGGGATCGATCACGGAACGAGTCTGTCACTGAAAAGTACCGCTTTATGTCCCGAACCCACGCTGCAGGTCGAACCGACAAAGGCAGCAGGAAAGTAAGTAGACTCAAAGCTGTGGATCCCTGGTTCTTTGTGAGCTCTGTGAGCCACAGGGTCCCTGGATGTCCCTGGTCCATGTCAGAACCGAACGGGGTGAATTGATGTGGACTGCGGCCTGCAGAAGCCACAAAGAGGACTTGGAGTCCTGTGCAACTGCAGGGACCAGCGGTTTTCACAAGGTTTTGACCGAGCACCATCGAAGCACCATCGGAGCCAAGGATACGCTGCCTTCAATTCAGCAGCGGCAGTGTAAGTGCGCCTGTCTCTTTCGATCTCAACTCTGAAGTTGGAGCAGAGACGTACCTGCTGCAACTTGGTTGGACGACCAACAACGATGTCGTTCTTCGAGTGACTCCTAAGGACGGGTGAAGAAAATCATCTCCCAGTCCGAACAACTCAAGTTGACCATAGACCATAGATACCAAAGAGCCATTTGACTAGCATCAGTTGCAAGTGATACAGTAGTCAAGTTAGTTCACGTTGTTGTGTCATGGAAGCAGTTCAGTCGAGAATGTTGATATTGACTTCTCCGATGAACTCCTTTACCGGTCCATGATCTGTGGCCAGGAGGCTCTTGTCGATGATCTCGAACGACCGCTATCAATCAGTTTGTCCACCTTTGGTCAGGGTCCACAATTCGTGTCCCGAGACTCACCTGTGGTGGTGGGTGGCCGCTGGTGGACGACCAATGGTTTGTGCACTGCATCTACAGGCCCTGAACTACTCAGGACGGTTTAGAGAATGTGATACGAACATGTATGAAAATACGTGACACATGCTCAATCACGTGGAGACACACGGAACTCTTTGCTGTTTCTTTCCGGGCATCATTTCTTGGCTAAAGTTCTAACACCACTGTGAAACTGCTTGGAGTTCTTGTTCCTGACTTCCATACCAAGAATGGGAATGCGGTCCTCACCTGCAGGAGTTTGCGAACAGGTTTGTGGTGTGTGGTGTCTTGGCAATGCAAATGAGTAGACCAAGATCTTAAGAAGTTTGGAACAGACCTATTTTAAACTTAAACATGTTACAACACCTGGAGATGTTCTCTTTCTCAGGTTTGCGTCTGTCAACGCCCAGAGGATGCGCCACTGCCGCAATCCCTTCGACTCACCCGCGTCCTGGACTCCCTGGCATTGCAGCTTCCAGATGAGCGATAGACGAGGTTCAACCAGGGCAGAAACAGAGACAGAGAGACAGAGAGAGATGGATGCAGTTGCGTTGCAGTTGGTTCTGGAAGAGCAGGAGGAACATGTTGAAATGGATGCTTCCAGAAAGATCAGTCGAATAGTGGACGTGCATTTTTGCGGTCCAGAGTAGTTTAGGAGCTTCTTTTGATGGCCTTTTTCTTTGGCCTCGCTGTCAGGCAGAGCTTTGTTTCCATGAACTGGGCGCCAATTGAACGCGCTGAGTTTTTCCCCATTTTTGCGCCAGCCACAGCTGCTGGCAACCGACTAGCAGCAGAGCCACTGACTGAACTGCTGCCAGTGGTCACACTTTATAAAGACGATTTCAATCATTTTTGTGGCGGAGCGCTTCTTCTTTACCAATGATGTTTTTCTCCTAGAAAAAGTGGATGATGCTTTATTCCTTTTTTGGCAGTTGGCGGCCATGGCTAGTAGGTTGGAGGCCATCGCTAGTAGGTTCGCGGCCATCGCTAGTAGGTTGGAGGCCATCGCTAGTAGGTTGGCGGC